CAATCATTTAAGCTATTCTCTCATCCAACAGTCAAAACAAATTTCTAAAGAGGTTAGCTAATACATACCTGATATTAAAATACCTCTAACTTCATGATAATTGTCTGTAGTAGTCTCCCAATTAATGCACCCTCCCTTTGAGCTAATGACATCTTTAAATATGAAAACTATGTTTCTTGGGGCAATAGCTTTTGCAGGGAGAGGTAGTGAGATGCACTCTCAGAAGTGACATAATCTATCTTCAGTTCTCAGTAGAGGCCAGGTTACACTATACCCTGACATTTCCTTTTTACCTAAAGTTTCACATACTTTCATACATCACAGTTCATAGCCTTGCAAGCCTTCTACCAACCCCCTCAAACACCATTCGATAGTTCATTGCACAATGTCGATATGAGGAGATATGGCCTTCTGTATCTTCAGAACAAATTTTTTTAGAAGCTCTTATAGACTGTAGGGTCGGAAGGGTCTCTTATTGTCATCGCAAAGACTGACAAAGTGGATTTTCCCCCTAATTCAGGGTGCAATCAGATGGGTATTTGTCCTGCTGTTTTTTCAAATGTGGAGACTGACTAATCTTTTTCTGGTGATCAGACAATGTAATTGCTACAGTGACTTAGCCCAGGCCGGAAAGTTTCTACACACAGCTTTCTTGTTCCCTGTCAAGGGAATATGTGTGTCTGGAGGGGGGGGGTTCACAAAAGCAACAGAAAGAAATTCAACAGAGATAAGGGCAAAGTACTGCACCTCAATTGCACAGTTACAAAATGGGTGGATACCTGGCCCAACAAAACTATGAGCGAGATCTTGAAATTGTCATAGATCACAAGCTAAATATGAGCCAACAGTGTGATACAGCTACAAAAAAGGCAAATGCTATTTTAGACTGCATTAATAGAAGTATAGTTTCCAAATCCCACAGGGTGCTAGTCCCCCTCTATTCAGCACTGGTTAGGCCTCAACTTGAGTATTACATCCAGTTCTGGACACCACACTTCAAGAAGGATGCCAACAAACTGGAAAAGGTTCAGAGGAGGGCGACAAGGATGATCAGGAGGCTGGAAACCAAGCCTTA